CATTGCAACAGCCCAAAACTTCGAGAGACACATGCTCCTAGAACTTCGAGATCTGCACTAGGTGTTGCCAGAAAATCGAGTAGGGTTGGGTGCGCAAAGAGGGATTGGGAGTTGGCAAAATGAGGATTGGATTGGGGGTGATCGATTGGGTGTTGGCGAATTAGGGTTGGGTTGGTATGGGAGAGAGTGGTTTGAGTGTTGGCGAAAGAACAGGAATGCTGGCGAAGTTAGGTTGGCTTAGGAGGGGAGGGAGTGGTTTGGGTGTTGGCGAAATTGCAGTTGAGGTTGGATGTTGGCGAAATTTAGGTTTGGGCTACCATGGATTGGGAGGGATTGGGATGGGTTTTGAGGAGAATATGGTTTGGTTAGACTGGGTGTTGGTGATGGTGATTTTGAGTGCCGTGCTGCAGGAAACTAGATCGCTCGCAGATCGATGTACTTACCGTAGGCATGAGCAAAACCGGGTATTTACCCGACCCGACCAGGTTTTGCTATACTCGGGTCGGGTATTTTCGGGTCGGGTACCGGCCGGGTAACATGCCCAGGACCAATACCCAGACCCGGGATTTGAGGGCAGGTAATTTAATACCCGCCTGGTGGGTCCGGGTATACCCGACCCGGTTTCCTTGAAAAACAGATAATATTACCAGCGTTTTCCTACCCTGTTGGGCTAAACCTACGACCTAGATAGTGCTTAAAAACGACAGTTGCGGGAGGGAGTATGAGGTGCGCCAGATCTTTTGCAGTTCTGGTGAGTGGGGCCTGAGTGGGGAGGTGGTTGGGTTTTCTAGTTGGGATGGGGTTGTGTGCGTGCGGTTTTAGGGGGTTTGATACTTCGACCCCCAGAATCAATTGGTTGGAACTCCAACCAACGTGGTGTTGTGTGGTTGGTTAGATTCAGGTTGGGTTGCAAATTCGATTGGGGGAATCAATTGGTTTGAATTCCAACCAATTTCTCCCAATTCAACTGCTCTGAATACATCTGGACTGGATCCACGAAATCCAACCCCTGCCCCTCTACAATGCTCTACGTGACCTAGCAGCTCACGTAACCCATCTCGCCCACACCGCATAGATTCCGCAGGCGGTCTGAGCCTTACGCTGGCTGTCAGCGAGAGTCGGCCCGGCGGCGGCACGGCGAACATAGGTGGGACTCGGAGTCTCGAGGAGGCCCGCCGGGCGGGGATGGCCCTTGTAACATATCGCCCTATGAACCGCCCCTCCTAGTCTAACTATCGTGACTAATCTAGACGTTCCTGGTTTCCCCTTGCGCACGAAGTTGCGGGAACATATTTGGAATTGAAGGTTGGGAAGACAGGTTTGGGTGATATGGTTGGAATGGTGGTTACCACTCCACCAGCAAGTGACAGGTTGGATTTGGGTCGGGCAGCAATTGTTCCTATTGGCTGCAATTCCAACCAATGCACATTTAGCAACCCAAGATAAGTTTGCACACCTCAGCAAACTGATTCCAGCTTACTACAAATTCCTTGGTTGGGAAAACCCAACCCATGCCACATGGGCAAGGCCCACAATTGGTGCACCACCCCCTTGACCATGGAGGAGGTGGTTGCACCCCAAGGGGTCTAGGAAGTGGGAGGGCTCTTGGAGCTCATTCTTCACTTTCCTTCCCCAATAACTCAATATTGGAAGAAGGATCCTCCTCCTCTCTAAGTCCTCCAACTGTTATCTCTACCACAAAGGACTTGGCCAAATCTTGGCTATTTCTTTGTCATCTCCAAGTTCTCCTTGAGGTTCAAGCCTACTCCTAGTTCTAATTAGGAGTGCTATTTCGTTGTATTCCGCTATTTATAAACCGGTGTTGCTATAAACCAGTGGATGTTATAGCCCTGATCGGCACGGCTCCATGCCGCCGCCGCCGCCCTGCCGCCTTCTCGGCTGGAAATCGCGGCGCCTGGAGTCGCGGCGTTGGAGGCGTGACTTGAAGCGGCGGAAAGGGTAGGGTGCGCTACGAGGAGGAGGGCGAGCAGCAGCGCGGCGGGAAAGCAAGATGTACGGCAGTCTGAGCGCGAGGCACGGATGAAGGTGCGAGGCGACAGTAGCGACATGATGGCAGACGAGCTGAGGGATTTACGGCCAGGTCGGAGTGAATTTAGCCTGAATTGGAAGCTCCTGTTCTAGGCGCAGTGGCTGTCCATGGTCCGATCTGGTTGCTGCTGTTACCTGGCAGAAAATGAGGTTTCCGCCACTCTGAGCGAAACCATGAAGGGTGCTCAACACGACGCAACAGCTGGAGACCCAGAACTGATGTACGCAAAAGCGGATGGAGGTGCGGAGAAAGTCGGCCAATTCCCACTCGTGTTCGGTGAAGCAGAGTGCGTGCGTGGCTACAGTTGAGCATGTCTGCATCCTAGAGGATGAGGCGTGGCAGCAAGGCGAAGAAAAATGCATTACGTGCTTGAGGGCGCGTCTCCAGCAAGGGCGGTGTCAAAATTTCCGTGTCATTCGGACCACATGACACGATACAACATAGACCGCACGGGTCAGTCTGGTCGGGTATACCGTATTGGGTGAAGAGCGACCCCTTTCGTGACATGTCATTGGGGATTCTGCTACTGAGCCTTAGCGATGACACGCTAGTGCGTGACACAGTATCAGCCAGAGGCGAGCTCTGACGCTAGGGGTTAGCTCTAGCAGGGTGGTGTGCCTCAGGAAATCAGGCGTTTTACCCTGTTAAGACCGTTTTTTGGAGTGGCTTTAACGTGTCACACTGCAAGGGAGGGGTTGGGGCTGGTAACACTCTGTCTGATGCAGGCAAGGCCGAAAAAACACTAGGCAAATCAGACTTTCGTGTCACTAAAGCCCTGTGCTTTCCTAAGTTTGCTAGCAGGATTTTGGCTAATCTAGAAAGAAAATCGCTACGTCCTTAGTCAAAACCGGACCACTGTTGGCGCTAGAGTCGGCTTAAAACCGTTGAAGTTCGAGCACAAAGAGTCAAACATGGGAAGCTCAAACTCTCAACTTGGCCAGTCGCCATTCTCAACTGGGATTTTGTTCTACCCTGCAATTCTTGACAAGAGTGGACGCTCACCCTGCAGTGGTAGGGTGAACCTCTGCCCCCGCTCGTATCTGGCGGGGTGCCCCAAAACACATCGAGAGCCCTATTGAAGTGCGGGACAACTGAAAGAAAGCGGATCCCACTCAACAGTCTTTTTGTACAAGTTACAGAAACTTGCCACGAGCCCACAATCCGCAAGGGGACGGGTTTTGTAAGGAATTTTATTCCTTACCGGGTTGTACTGCAATCGCGTACACCCGAACTCTCGGAACACCAGGCTCGGTCCGTTTCTGACGCGACCCCGAGGCACGCCCGCGCCGCCTCCGAACCTTTCGACCGCGCCTGTACCCAACCTAGCCCTCCGGCTTCGTCGCCTAGCTAGAGCTCTCGCTATATAATGCTAGGCTAGCATTCTTGTACTCGTCATTATTATTCCGCGCACTCTCAGTTATTATTCATAACATCTGGTATCAAAGCTACTTTCCTGGTTCACCCCGCTTTCTCAGGGTAGTTTATTCCGAAGGCGTGGTTAACCCTGCGGGGCTGCAAAGCGGTTGTCCGTGAGCTAGAGTTATTAGCTCACACAACTACGATAGCGTTTGCGCCCCCTACGGTTTCTTACCACGGCCTTCCCCCTGCCCGAAAGGCGTAGCATTCGCATCATGTCCCAGGCCCAGCTAGATGAGGTCATGGCCCAGATGGCGAGTTTGAACAGTGAAGTCGTGAGACTTCAGACGGAGAACACCGAGCTTCGCCAGACGCGTGGTGAAGCGCGTCAGGAGCCGCCTGGAGTCGCCGAAGACGAGGTCAAGCAAGGCGCCGACGACGCCGCGAGTGAAACCGTCCTTGACGAGCTCGCACGGGAGTTGGAGCAGGACGACGTGCGCACTGTGACCGTAATGAAGATAAAACTCAAGCCAGCAACACCACCCCCGTTCAACCCTTCGGACAAGGCGACGACGGTGCAAGGGTGGCTGTTCAGCATGGAGCTGTTCTTCACGGCGGCAAGTGTACACACGGAGGACGCGTGCATTAATTATGCCGTGTCACTGCTTCGAGGACCGACGTTGGATTGGTGGCGCCGACAGTTGGCGATTGGGACTCCGGCAGGAGTGAAACAGGCGAAGGACGGGACTTCGGACTCTTCAAACCAACTGGCAGAAACAATATTCGGTACGACTACGATTCGCACGTGGAAACAGTGGGGCACAGCTCTGCGAGCTCGTTTTGAGCACTCATCCGCCTCAGATGACGCTCGCATGAAGCTGCGCAACTGGCGGCAGGTGACTACTGTTCAAGATTACACTGCGTCGTTCTCGGCACTTGCGGACCAAGTCGACGACCTCAGTGAAGCGGAAAGGCGGGACAAATACGTTAGCGGGCTGCATTTCAATATTCAATACAAGTTGCAGCGGTCCCGTCCCAAAACGTTCGATGAAGCTGTCCAACTGGCGTCAGCAGCCGATGCACTGCAGCAGTGGGCGAGAAAGAACAACAGGGATGTTGGTCGTTTTCGCGGACAGTCTCCCCGCCCCACGATCAATGGCGTGTCAGCGCCCGATGAAATATTTCACGGGCTATGCTTTCGATATGACAAGCCAGGTCACCGAGCTAAGTAATGCCCGACGGTGCCCAAGAAGACGAAGAACGACAAGGAGAAGCCGGGAAATGGGAAAAGTCAGTAGCAGACGGGCCCCCTACTGACGAGGCTTTGTCGCCCGAACTTCAACGTTCCCACCAAGTTGTGGTACCGATACATGCTATCGACCGCACTCGGACGAATAACGGGAGCGAACCTGAAGATCACCCTGTGCTGCTCGAAGGCAAGGTTAACGGCAAAAAAATAAAATTATTTGTGGATGGCGGAGCTAGTCACAGTCTCATCCACGTAACAACGGCGAAGCAGTTGAAGCTGACGTTGGAAAAATGCCTTCCCGAAATCGACCCGCGACTGGTGGACGGAACGCCACTTGCAATTCGAGAACGAGCGCGCATGGTGAGGATGAAGTGTGGCGACGACTTCGGGTTCAGCATGCCCATGCTGGCCACGACGCTGGACGGCTGCGACATTCTGCTTGGGCGTGATTGGCTGCGAAAATACAACCCAAGGATTGACTGGACAACTGGCGAATGCAGCGTGCTCTGTGCGAACGGGTGGTGCGTACTTCCAAGCTGGCGTGGGAGGGATCCGGTGTCGACACGTGTCAACGCCATCACCCTCTAGCGGGCAGTTAAAAAAGGAGCTGATCTGTACGCCGTCCACCTGGCCGAAGCGACGGTCGATGACACGTCAAAGGACATTGACACACTTTGTGCCAATGTCCCTGCCGAACTCGCTACGATGATTCGACGGTACCCGGATATTTTTCCGGACGACCTGCCAGCAGGGTTGCCACCCGAGCGCCCCCAGGACCACAAAATTGACCTAGATCCTGGCGCGCAGCCTACAGTCAGGACCCAGTGGCGACTGACTCAGCCCGAACTCACGGAGTTGCGGAACCAGCTGGACTACCTCTTGGAGAAGGGGTTCATTCGGCCCAGCACGTCCCCGTTCGCGGCACCAATCCTGTTCACGCCAAAGAAAGACGGCGGGCTGCGAATGTGCATTGACTAGAGGGCGCTGAATCGGCGAACCATTAAGTCTCGCTACCCAATCCCACGCGCGGACGATCTTCTCGATCAACTTCGCGGAGCTCGCTTCTTTTCGAAAATCGACTTACGCGGCGGTTACCATCAGATCCGAGTCTTCGCTAACGACTGCCACAAGACAGCGTTCCGAACCCGATACGGCAGCTGCGAGTACACCGTCATGCCGTTTGGCCTCACGAACGCCCCCTCCACTTTCCAACTCACCATGAATGGCGTATTCCGCGATCTCCTCGACAAGTGTGTCATCGTCTACCTTGATGGCATACTGATCTACAGCAAGACACAGGAACAGCACCTCAAGGACCTCGAGCAAGTTTTCCAGCGGCTGCAAGAGCACCGCCTCATTACGAAGGGCTCTAAGTGTGAGTTCCTAAAATCCGAACTGGAATTTTTGGGACATGTCGTGGGAGCGGACGGCATCAAAATCGACCCGAAGAAAATCAAAACAATTCGCGACTGGAAGCCGCCGACGAATTTACAGGAACTGCAGAGTTTTCTCGGGTTCGTTAATTACGTCCGGCGGTTTATCCCCAATATGGCAGGGATAACCGGACCGTTAACTGACCTGCTGCGGAAGGGCACTTTGTTTGAGTGGGGGGAGAGACAGCAGACTGCTTTCGATGAACTGCGAAATTTTCTGACGTCGGCCCCGGTCCTTCGAATCGCCGACCCATCTCGACCGTTCGAAGTCTTGACGGACGCCAGCGATTTCGCCATCGGTGCGATACTGTTACAAGATTTCGGCGACGGACTCCAACCCATCGCGTATGAGTCTAGGAAGTTGCAGGCAGCCGAGCGCAACTACCCCGTCCACGACAAAGAAATGCTCGCCATCGTGCACGCATTCAAAGTGTGGCGATGCTACCTGACGGGAGCCGACGTGACAGTACGGACAGACCATAAATCCCTACAGTACCTCCGTGCGCAGCCGAACCTCAATCCATGACAGATTCGCTGGCTGGACTTCCTCGAAAGCAACTTCCACTACACCATCAAGTACAAACGTGGGGCGAATAACATCGCCGACGCACTGACACGATCGTCCGCCCACCTCGCCTCCATCATCATTGCGAAATCAAACCCACTGCTCACCGGGCTATTTACCCACGGCTACAACACCGACCCCTTTTTCACCCGCAACCTCCACCAACAAGCCACCACAGCCAAGGAACCCTACGTCCTAAAAGCCGGTACTGACCATATCTGGGTTCCCGCCTACAGACTCCTCCGCGAATTACTTATTCAAGAAGTCCACGATTCTAACCTCTCCGGTCATTTCGGGGTTGACAAAACCCAGAAGTTACTTCACCGTTTCTATTATTGGCCTGATTTGGCGTCTGATGTGCAGAGATACGTATCGGCGTGCCCGATCTGCCAACGCATGAAGTCTTCTCGACAGCGACCAGCTGGACTGCTGCAACCGCTCGAGCCACCCCAGCGACCGTGGCAACATGTGACGATGGACTTCGTCACGGGGCTCCCAGCCGCAGCCACGGGCAACGACGCCGTGCTGGTCGTCGTCGATCGACTGACGAAGATGGCACATTTCGCACCCTGTCGTACAACAATCACAGCCGAAGATACCGCGAAGCTTTTCATCTCCACCGTTGTTCGCCTGCACGGCCTACCCTCAGCGATCATCAGCGACCGCGACCCCAAATTCACGTCCAAGTTCTGGCAGGAGACATGGGCCCAGTATGGCACACGCCTCCAATTTTCCTCCGCCTATCATCCTCAAACCGACGGCCAGACCGAACGAACCAATCAGACCATGGAGCAGCTGATACGCACCAACTGCCCCGATCCGGCCCGGTGGGAAGAATTCCTGCCCATGCTGGAATTCTCCTACAACAATGCCCCATCCGCTACGACTAATCACTCGCCGTTTTTCCTAAACTACGGGATGGATCCGACCGTCCCAGCAGTTCATCTCCAGTTTGCAAGCTGCCCGGGATAAAGCGATAGAATTCATTCGAAAGTCCAACACAACCTCTCGACGCTATACAGACCTTCATCGCCGCGATATTACAATGACCGCTGGGCAACTAGTCCTCCTCGACACGAAGAACCTTCGATTGCCCCTGCCTTCCAAACTCCGCCCGCGATTTCGTGGCCCTTTTCGTATTGTCAAGATGGTGACACCTGTCACAGCGAAGTTATTACTCCCGGACGAGTGGCGCATTCACGACGCCTTCCACGTCAGCCTGATTCGTCCTTACGTTGCCAGCACGTCTGCAGTCGCACGACCAGCAGCCGCCCCAAGTGTTCGCCCACTGGCGGAACCAACGCTTGAGCCTTTCCGGCTTTTGAGTCATCGCGTTCGCCTCGACTTGTCAGGACGACACGTGGATTTTCTTGTCCGCTGGGTCGACCGTACAAGCAAAGACGACACCTGGGTCACTTCCGCCTTGATTCAGGAACACTCGGTGCTCAAATCCTATTTTACCCGAAAAGGCGTTCCCGATATTGATCACCTTCCTTCGGGGGGGGGGTAGTGTAAGGAATTTTATTCCTTACCGGGTTGTACTGCGATCGCGTACACCCGAACTCTCGGAACACCAGGCTCGGTCCGTTTCTGACGCGACCCCGAGGCACGCCCGCGCCGCCTCCGAACCTTTCGACCGCGCCTGTACCCAACCTAGCCCTCCGGCTTCGTATCCTAGCTAGAGCTCTCGCTATATAATGCTAGGCTAGCATTCTTGTACTCATCATTATTATTCTGCGCACTCTCAGTTATTATTCATAACAGGTTTTCTTGCGAGTTACGGAAAAAAATCCGTTCTTCAGAGTGCTAGACTAACGAGACAAACAAATAATAGGACTAGGTCAGCTACTAGCGCTAAATCATAGCATAGCGCAGAATTCTTTAGGGGGGTGACTACATAATGTGTGCCCTAAGTATGAAAGGCTAGCTTATATAGTGCGAGTTGACCAGGGTTTAACCTAAGGGCTGGACGAGTCAAGGGCTCGAAATTCCCGAGGGCGAAAAGGTCAAATTGGGTTCAGGGCGCATCGGTAACATAGTAGGTCGGCGGACTTGGTTCGACGAGCAAGACTTCAGGGGGCCGAAACTGCGGAAGTGCACTGTTCGTGGTACTCGCTGTGGCGAGCCTCGGTAAGGAATCATGAATTCCTTACAGCGAACCCCACAAAATCTCCGTACTACACCATAGATATTGGTATCTTTCTATTATATTTCGATGTACGCCCCGAGTAAGATTTCAGGTGAACGGTCAATTTTTGTGATGCATAATTTAACCAATCAGGATTGTCAAACATATCTGTATATGTTACAGTAGACTAGATAGGGGCATCCCTTAGTGAGTATAACAATTTATGTCAAAACCACCATGTATCATGTTTTCTAGTTATTCCGCTACTCTGAGATGGTACATGGTAGGTTAGGTCCGCCCACCCGCTTCCGCCCTCGCCCTAGCGTAGCGCCCCGCCGTTCCCTTAGCGCGCCCCGCTGGCCTTAGCGCGCCCTGCTAGTCTTCAGCGCCCCGCCAGCCCCGTTAGCGCGCCACGCTAGTACCTCGCCCCGCAGGTCCCTTACGCGCCCCGCCTGGCCCTAGCGCCCCGCCGGCCCTTAGCGCCCCGCCGACCCCTCGCGCGCCCGCTGGTCCTTAGCGCCCCTCGCGCCCCGCCCGCCCCTCGCGCCCCGCCCGGCCCTCGCGCCCCACTAGTCCCTCCTGCACCCCGCCTGGCCCTAGCGCCCCGCCAGCCCTTAGCGCCCGTCGCCCTCTCGCGCGCCCGCTGGGCCCTTAGCACCCCGCCGGCCCCTCGCGCCCCGCTGGTCCCTTACTCGCCCCGCCGGCCCCTCGCATCCCGCCCGGCCCTCGCGCCCCACTGGTCTCTCCTGCGCCCCGCCTGGCCCTAGCGCCTCGCCGGCCCTTAGCACTCGGCCGCCCCTTTCGAGCCCTGCTGGCCCATCGCGCCTCGCCAGCCTTCTTCGCGCTCTGCCGGCCCGTCGCGCTCTACTGGCCCCGTGAGCCCTAGGCGGTCCTTCTATGCGCCACTGACCCTGTGAGCCCCGCTCGGCCTTTCGCTCCATCTTCCTAATGGGGAGTTATGCCGCCGCGCTGCTGTACCGCTCTGTAGCTGTGCCACTGTGTCGCTATGCCGCCGTGCTGCCGTGGAGCTGTCTTGCTGAGATCGCACGATGGCAGACTCTGTACTCCGCCTGGACGCGGAGGGGCACGCGATCGACTTCGTCGCCTGGCTTGTCAATATACGCCGTCACCTCACAGGTCAGTGCCAGGATGGGCACTCCCTGGCTGTGCATGTTGATGGCTTGCTTCCCCGTCCCCCCGCGCCTGATCCCCTCCCAGCTGACCCCACCACTACTCAACGTGAGGCCTTTTCTGCTGCTACGCTTGCTCGCGTTGTCTGGCCTGTTTATGCTGGACACTACTCCCCCCTCGGTGGGCATGTCCTCCCCGGGTCCTGCGCCTAACCAAGTCGCTGCGGCTTGCTCGTGTCGGTTGCTCACTCACCCGTCGCTTCTGTTGCACCACCGCCTAGGTCACCCCGCACTCCCGCATATTCGTTACATGTCTCAGCACGGTCTCGTCCTAGATCTCCCTGCGTTGCTCCCAGCCCTCCCTCCCTCGCCTGCGCCGCCGTGCACTCCTTGCGTTGAGGGCCGGTTGCACCGTAACCCTCATTCCTTCTCGCTTCGCCCTACCACCGCGCCACTCCAGACCCTACACCTGGACGTCTGGGGCCAAGCCCCCGTCTCAGGGCCGCGTCGCGAGCGCTACTTTCTCGTGCTCGTCGACGACTACACGCGCTACACCACGGTGTTTCCCCTTAAGAGGAAGGCCGACGTGCCTGTCATTCTTATCTCGTGGGTCGTAGCTGCGCGCCTCCACCGCGGTCTCCCTGTGCTGTGTCTCAACTTCGACCATGGCGGCGAGTTGGTTTCCGGACGGCTTGGACAGTTCTGTCGTGCGGAGGGCATCACCCAATCGTACACCCTACCGGACTCCCCGCAGCAGAATGGGGTTGCTGAGCAACGCATCGGTTTGGTCATGGAGGTGGCTCGTACCTCCATGATCCATGCCGGTGCACCCCATTTTCTGTGGTCGTTCGCTGTTCGCTACGCTGCTCACCAGCTTATCCTGTGGCCACACTCCCAGCGTCCGCATGTTTTCCCGACCCTTCTTTGGACCGGGTTCCCTGGTGACGCGTCCGCATTCCACGTCTAGGGCTGCCTCGCTCACATCCATGCCTCAGCCACGAACAAACTTACAGCCACGGCACTGTCCCCTGTGTCTTCCTTGGTTTCCCCCTTGACTCGTCTGACTGGCACTTTTATCACCCGCCGTCTCACCGCTTCTTTCACCCCATGACGTCACTTTCGACGAGTCTGTCTCCTTTCACCACCGAGGTCTCCCGGTTTCCCCGCCTCTGTTTCTGGTTCCCACTCCCCCTGTAGAACCTGCTACCTTCGCTCCCTGTCCTGCTCTGTGTGGTGTGTCTCACGTAACTCCCCTACGGTCGGCTATCCCGGTCGAGGAGTCGGCTGAATCTGGTGGCCCCGCGGCACAGTTCTTGCCACCTGTTTCTCCCCCGGTGTCTCCTCCTCCGCCGTCGCAACAGCCGCCGCCGTCGCAGCAGCAGCAGCAGCAGTCGCCACCGCCGCCGCCGCCGCAGCAGCAGCTGCCCGTGGACTCTGGGGGTGCGGGCGTTGAGGAAGGTGCTAGTCCCGGGGTTGCTGTCGTGGCTTGTCCCGGCGGTCCTTGGAATGGCACCGGTGCTGGTACTTCTAGCTATGGTACTTCTTCCTGCGTGAGCTACAGCAGTACCGCCAGGCCCGCGTAGTACACTTGGCCTCCGGTGCCAACACAGCTGATATCTTTACGAAGGCGCTCGCGCCTAAAGATCATCAGCGGCACTGTTTGCAGCTTGGTCTGGTTCCTGTAGCTCCTCACTTGCTAGGACCTTGATTGTGTGCTTCTCTTATATATATACAAATAAATAAATAAATAAATATATATATATATATTCGTTCTTGACTGGTCTTGTGGCTTCTCTTCCAGTGGCTGGACTAGTAGTGCCGCCCTGAGTTGCTTGTTTCTTGCCAGGCACTGCCTCATGTCCAGTCTAAGGAGTGTGTCAAACATATCGGTATAAGTTACAGTAGACTAGATAGGGGCACGCCTTAGTGAGTGCAACAATTTAGATCAAAACAACCATGTACCCTGTTTTCTAGTTATTCCGCTACTATGAGAAGGATGACCATGCAAATTCAAACGACAATGAGCACTGGCTGACGAGCTTATAGCATTCTGTATATGTTGGACTCGCCAACCTAGGAGCTTCTAGATTTTATTTTTTTTCTTTAACCACTGATGAGTCGCCATGTTTGGTTAAGTAATTATGTTCTACAAAATTGTGCCAAGCCTGTTTGTGCCGACCATTCAAAGTGTGTTTCGGGCAGGTTACTCATTTCGCGAACATTTTGAGGTCAGTGCGCAAGATGTGCGAGGGAAAATATTTTCACCAAAATCCCTCCATTCGCACTTTAGCGATGAGCGCAAATGCTAACATCCTGCGCTTATTCCTGACAGAGAGCGCCGAAACTACATAAAGAAACTTGGGTTGATACGCGTTCGACAAGCTAGCATCATATGTTTGCAGCATATGCCAACGCGCTAACCATGAACAGTACATAACAAACAAGGCTCCAACATTTTGGGAAACTCTATAGTCCCATTTTGCCGTATTGTAACGCCATGTCCCATGTACTCCATATCCGTCAGGTCATGAAAATTGTGTAATATTAATAGATTGTTGATTATCGGTACACCCAACTATTCGTTAGAATGGCACAAGAAAGAGTCACCTCGTTGTTAGAAATACATCAAGTTTTTGGCCATGTATATAATGCTGCACGGTGGTCGTGTCCTGTCGAACGTGTGTTTCTCAGGCAAATGGACTGTACATCAGCATAGTCACTACCCTGACCAAAC